AGGGAAACAGACAGACGGACAGACGGACAGACGTACAGACGTATTTGGATTCTGATCGTGATGGTGATCAAGAATTTATATACTTTGTGGGGTCTGAGGTGTCTCCTTCACTGCGTTGCAAACTTCTGACTGAAGTTATAAGACCTTTTGCTCTGCAAGGGTATAAAAAAGAAGTTTTTCACTTTTATAATAGATAGTTGATAATCTGTATATAGTTGTTACGGGCGTGTACATTAATTTGCTTTGAAGTCTGCGTAATAGGGACTGTCTTTGTTTACACTTCCCCTTTACAATACAACGAAAACTATTATAAAGAGTCTGATTTTGCATTGGTTTATTCGGCATGTTTAATGTAGTGGATTTCCCAAGCCAATGCGACCTTATGTATGTGATAGCCAAATCTAAAATTAAATGACAACTTTACTATGTCAAAAATATGTAAAGAACATTAACTTAAAATAACGTTTTCTAAAATAATTGATCAGGTGCATTGGCTAAACACTTTTAACCTTTATAGTGCGTTTTCTGGTTGTTGTTCATTAAACTTTAAAGTTTCTCCGAAAATCAACGACTTTAAGACATCTCGAGATATATCATCGTTTTCCATATTGATCCGAAATGGGACTTCAGCAACAGGCTAAACGCAAAATACAATGTTTTTTGTTAAATATAATTTTATTTTATTTTTGTAGTTACAAATTCCAATATTATAATTGTAACAATTGTAACGGATTGTAGCCAGCCGTTCACTCACTGGTGTGAAATTAGAGACGCGGTGGTTCGAAGACAGGCACCTGTATTTAACAAGCCAGTAATTTGATGGCCAATAATCTTCTCGTCCGCAAAGGGTCTAGGATTGAGTGAATCACCTCGTTTAACTGACGGCACCATTTATCGTCGTAGGGTTCTTCTGACCTTAAAGGGGTTTTGCAAACCACCTTTTCAATTGACTGGGAAATCAAGTTTACTCCTCGCGAGACGTCGTCGCCTCGACCATTTGTTTTTATTATTTTATGTTACGAACTGCTCATTGGGTGGGAAGTGCCGCTTACTCAATGATTTCGTTAGGGCCAATGCAAAGTCACCGCGAGATGTGTTCTGCCATGGCCACTAACATCAAGGTCACTTAATCCTGTGCACCGAGGAAAAAAAAATGGACGAGCCGAACAGAATATGAGATGTGATGTATTAAATCCTTTCGCCTAATTTTAATTAGTTAAGCAACCCTTCATGTAACTCCTGTGTCTTACTCTGGATCAATTTATATAGGTATTTAATTTCCTTATAAACTACACATTCATAAATTTATTGCTTAACTCTAAGAAACCACAGGCGTGGGCTGGTCAACTTCGTGGCACCAGCCGCTCAACGAGGCGATAAGGAACGGACTCACTAGAGGTCCGGCCTCCGAGGGATGAAATTAGTGGCTGTAGATGGCGAGTGGATGCGAAATCTCCAATATAAGGGAATCTGCAATTTTTTTTTATTGTAAACTCTACCTTTCATTTTCCAGGGCCGAATTAAACGAAAAGCACTAACCCACTTGATCTACATTTTTGGCTTCATTTGTTGCTACGTCCAGCCCATTTAACTATATGGGCACTATTGAACGGTGACCTCACCCCATGTTCCCTAGCCTCCCTCCAAGTTGGGTCATTGAACATAAAAAAGGCCAGCTAACAGAAGTTCCTAAAATAGCTAGATTTCCCGCTAACAATTCAAAAGAGGGCGCTGCTTAACACATTGCTACCTGTCCTAAACAATCGGTAGCTAAACATAAACGAGATAATCAAAGGCAGAAAGTAGCTTCGTATGAAGCGCCGAGACCGCTGTAGGTGCAGAGGTAACAGATGCTGACAAATGCCCATTTCGCTATATTAGGGTCATTAGGGTCACCACTTCGCAATAAGCGCCAGAAAGTCAAAGTGTTCATAAGATTTTCAATTAGATCAGTACTCTGCACTCCTGGGAAATTTACTTAAGGAAACAACAGTAATGTTTGTATGCCTGAAAGAGTACAACCATCTTCAAATAAGTACTAGCTGTAAGCAGAACAAAATATAACAAGTACATACGACAAGGTTATTCAGAAGTAAAAACAAAAATCAAAGATACTAGATCTTCAGTATTTATCTAATCTATAGACTGTTTTTTTTTCAGTATAAGAGTTGTTAAAAAACTTGATATTCAAAAAATCATGCTCGTGGGACAAAAAAAACGATGTTATCTATTTATTTCCATTAATTCTATATATGTATATTTTTCGATCTCTCCTATGGCAGCTACCTTCTGTCAAAAAAGTACCGGGACTGGGTTAATAACACTCACATTTTCTATTTATTCATCCAAATTTATTTTGTCGCCTTCAAAGTAGTCCCCATTAGAGGCAATACACATATGCCAGCGATTCTTCCAGTCTTCGAAACATTTTTTTTAAGCGTTTTCCGGGATAGCTTTCAACTCCCGTGCCGAATTTTGTTTAATGTCTTCAATGGTGCTAAAACGGGTTCCACGAAGCGGCAACTTGAGTCGAGGAAACAAAGAGAAGTCGCACGGAGCTAAATCTGGCGAATACGGAGCTTGTTCGATGGTATTTATCGAGTTTTTGACCTTGTATTCGTTGACAATGGTAGCTCGAAATTCAGCTCTTTTGGAACAAGCCGTGCAGCGACTCGTTTCATACATAAACGGTCAGTCAAAATGGTACGAATTGACTCGTGAGAGATGTTCAGGACTTGTGCTATCTCTCGTATGCTGACATGATGATTTTCAAAAATAAATTCCTTCACTGCATCGATGTTAGTGTCGGTGAGAGAGGTGGATGGTCGTCCCGAACGAGGCATGTCTTCGCCAACCTCACGACCCTCTTGGAATGCTTTGTACCACTCAAAAGCACGTGTTCTCGATACAACTGCATCACCATAAGCCTTCTGCAACATTTTTAACGCGTCAGTACAAGAAATTTTGTTCGCAACACAAAATTTAAGACAAATTCTTTGTTCAATATAGTTGTTCATTATAACATTCGGCAAGCAATCAGAACATAGACTGACGTAACCAGCGACTGTAAACAAACTACTTCACAGATCGCGATCAAACTTTACTTAGTAATGCAGAACAGTGTTACCAACATAACAAAAAAAAAATTTCCGAAATCGGTTTAGCACAGGCGTTTTAATTAATCCAGTCCCGGTACTTTTTTGACAGAAGGTATATGATAGAGTTATCTGATTTTGATAAAATTTAATCCGAAATTCAATAGTAGTTAGAAAACGCCATATGGAAGAAATCAAGTCGATCTGATAAAAAACAACGGCGTAAGATTTTTTTATTTCATTCTCTTGTATTGGAGCTATCTGATATAGTCGGCCGATCCGACTTATATACTGCGTGCAATAGCTACACAACTTTTGGGAAAGTTTCAGCAAGATAGCTGTTGAGTTAGCGAGCTTTTTCACTAACTATTTTTGGCAAGATAACACAAAGATTTATTTTAGTTTTATAAGGGTGTATTTAATTAGCTCCAACAGAAATTATAACAAGTTTTGTTTCAATTATTTCACTTATGTTTATTAAGTACAATAGAGTTTATTTAGCGGCACAAGGGCGGCGACAAAATAATACGAAATTATGCGCAGACAAACCCGAATTGGTTTGAGCGTTAAATGCAACGATCTAGCAACGATCTTGATAACGACGACAACTATTAACGACTGTTAGCTAACAACGACTGATGATGACTATTTTTGGCAATGCCGATGCAATGCAGCTGCATGAGCTTAACGAAGAAGTAAGAAGTGATAAATGATAAGCGAAGAACAAAGCGATGGTTAAGAGAATTGCCTCGCAGGGCAAGCGAATTTAAGAGAGTTTGCCTCGCAGGGCAGTTACAATAGTTTTTAGTTATGATGTTAGGAAAACAAAAGCGAGGTTATTTAAGTTGTTTGGGCTGGACCAAACATTCTCCCCCCCGTTGGAAGACCAGGGCTTTCAACATCATCCTTCGTAGGCAAAAGACACAATTTGGCGACAGCTCTCTTGGTTATTCCTGTTGCGGTCTTCAGGACAGCGACTCGACAGATTTCATCCTTCCCCTTTATCAGCTCTAGCACACGAGCTAATGGCCATTTAAGCGGTGGTAGATTTTCATCCTTGACGAGGACGACATCGTTGACCTGCAGACTGGGTTGGGGAGAACGCCACTTGGATCTCTGGTGAAGGAGCGTCAGATATTCTTCACGCCAGCGTTTCCAAAAGGTTTCCTGCAAATAAGAAATTTTCTGCCAACGATCAAGTCGGTTGACATTTAGGTTAGAGAGATCTGGTTCGCTGAAGCTGGTAGCAGGACCGCCAGTTAAAAAATGTGCCGGAGTCAGGACATCAAGGTCTGCTGGATCCTCTGATAGGGGCAGAAGCGGTCTAGAGTTGATGATAGATCATGCAAATGATGGTGCGCAACTCATCAAATCCTAGTGTGGATTGCGAAATAGTGCGATAAAGATGATGCTTGGCTGTCTTAACTGAGGCCTCCCAAAGACCTCCAAAGTGGGGCGATCTGGGTGGAATGAATTTCCATTCGATGGAGTCTGCTAGACAGAAGCTCTCGATTGCCTTCAAATGGTCCTCAGCTAGGAATAAACGACGAAGTTCGGCAAGCTCGTTCTTGGCTCCGGTGAAGTTGGTTGCATTATCAGACCAAATGCATTTGGGACGACCTCTTGTTGCAATGAAGCGTCTGAGGGCTGCCAAGAATGTTGGTGTGGATAAATCAGCCACTAGTTCCATGTGAACTGCTTTGGTTGCAAAGCATATAAAAATGCATATGTAGCATTTCAACGGCTGGCGTTTTCGTCCTTCAGGCTTGTACATGAATGGGCCGCAGTAGTCCACTCCAGTGACAGTGAAGGCTTTGCAAGAATCCACGCGTTCCTTTGGCAGGTCTGCCATAACATGCTGAAGTGTACGTGGCCGAGCACGACAGCAGCGAATACATTTGGTGACTACAGCAGCGACTGTTCTTCTCCCCCGATGGGCCAATAGTGGAGTCTGATTCTGGCCAGCACCGTCCGAGGTCCTGCGTGAAGGCTTTCTTTGTGGAAGTGCTTAATGATAGCCGAAGTAACTGGATGCTTCCTGGGCAGGATCATTGGATGTCGAGAGTCAAAGGGCAGACTTGAGTTCGACAGTCTACCTCCGACTCGTAGAAGACCAAAATCGTCAACAAATGGAGACAGCGATGACAGGCAATTTGATGACTTCAGGACATGGTTGGCCTGAATTGCCTTTAAGTCAGCCCACATGGTAGCTCGCTGCACAACTCGAACTAGGAGGCGTGTACCATTCTGTAAATCTGAAACAGTCAGAGTGGGTGATCTAAGTCGAAACAAGAATTTGTATATGTATGAGAAAATTCGCTGCATGGCAGGAAATGAATTTTCAAACTTGCAGTTAGATGTCAGATCAATGGGAGACGTCAAAACCAAACACGTTGCCTTGCGCAGCTCCAGTATGCACTGCTCTTGGGCAGGGGATGGCGGCCAGCTGGATCGCGGTAGCAGCAAGAACAAGGGTCCATGAAACCAGAGATCGGACGCGTTCAATTCCATGGGCAAGGCTCCTCTGGATATGATATCAGCAGGATTTAGTGCAGTAGGTATGTGAAGCCATTCCATTCCGGCAGACAGTCTTTGGATGGATGCTACTCTGTTAGCAACGAAAGTTGTGAATCGGGATGACTCACTATTCAGCCAAGCTAAGACTACGGTTGAATCGCACCAGCAGAAATATGGACCTGAAAATATATCCATTTTTTGAAGCTTGCTCAGAAGATTGGCCAACAGAAGCGCTCCGCACAGTTCAAGCTTCGGAATCGACAGAGTCTTCAGGGGTGCTACTCGAGACTTGGAGCACAATAGTTGGGCATTGGCTTTGTCAGCAGATCTGGATACAATATACACGCATGCTCCATAGGCAGACATGCTAGCATCGCAAAACCCATGAATCTCGATTGATCCCTTTGGTAGTAGTGCGAATCTGGGAAATGTCGTCCTTTCCACGCTGCGAAACTGAAGGCATAAGTATATGACCAGGTTGAGCTTAAAGATTCGGGCAAGCTTTCATCCCAGTGTAGCTACTCCTTCCAGAGCTCCTGTAGGAAGATTTTGGCTTTGGTTATAACCGGGCTTATGAGTCCAAGCGGGTCATAGAATCGGGATATTGTCGAAAGCACAGAACGTTTGTTTGGCTTGGTTGTGGCCTGCGTAGGCAAGTAAGAGAAGAGAAGGACATCTGATGCAGGATCCCAAGCCAATCCGAGAGTTTTGGTTATGTCGCTTCCATCGTGAAACTTCAGGAAAGATTCCTTCTCCTCTTCTGGAACATTTTCAAGAACGACTGGGATATTGGAGCACCACTTTCGAAGCATGAAGTGGCCTTTCGATAGCAAGTCCTTTGTTTGGTGAAGAATCTCCTCGACTTCTTCGATGGAACTGCCTCCGGTGATCAAGTCATCAACATAAAAATCGCGTCTGACGATTTGAGACCCTACAGGATATGTCGACTGCTCATCCATGGCCAACTGATGCATCGCTCGAACTGATAGAAATGCGGCGGGTTTGGTACCGTATGTTACGGTGTCCAACTTGTAGATGCTGATGTCATCCTGATCAGAATCGCGCCAAAGAATGCATTGCAAATAGCTGTCTGACTTGGCTATTCGAACACAGCGATACATTTTCCCAATATCTCCAGTGAGAGCAACTGCAAATGTACGAAAACGGATTAGAATATTGAAGAGCTTAGCCTGTATGGTAGGTCCTGCCATCAACGTGTCGTTCAACGAAATTCCAGATGAAGCTGCTGATCCATCAAATACGACACGTAGTTTGGTGGTCGTGCTATCGTCTTTAAAGACGCAATGATGCGGAAGGAAAAATCTGCAGTGCATTCTATCCTCTGGAGGTACAAGCGACATATGGTTGAGTTCCAGATACTCCTTTATGAAGTTAGAGTATTGTTCCTTGACATCAGGACGGCGTTCCAATTTTCGCTCCAAGCTGAGGAAACGGCAAAATGCTTGCTGGTATGACTCTCCAAGTCCATCGATTTTTCCAGTTTTCGGTAGCTGAACTTCGTATTCACCAGTGGGTAGCCGAACGAAGGTGTTTTGGAAATGGTCCTCGCATTCCGTTTCTTCTTTGGTGAATTTCGAGCTTTCCAAAGGACAGGATTCTACTTCCCAAAATCGCTGCAGAAGGTCATCAATTCGATCTTCAGGCTCTGGCATATTATCTGAAATAGATTGAGAGGCAACGAGAGTGTGGCAAGTTTGTGCCGTGCCACCAGAGACCACCCATCCAAGTCGAGTTTTTTGAAGAGTGGGAAGATGGGGGCCAAGCTTGATTTGTCCGATACATAACTAATCATAGAACAAACTTGCTCCTATGAGAAGGTCAATCCTCTTCGATTTGTTGAATTCCGGGTCAGCTAATGGTAGATTTGATGGGATATTCCATGGCGATGAGTCGAAATTGAAGTCAGGCTGATCGTTGACGATTGAGGATGCAACCACGGCTTCAATACTTGCAGAGTAATTGGTAGAGTTGGATGATAAACTCAGCTGGACAGCATATCCTGTAGTTTTGAAGCTAGAATCTCCAAGACCAGATACAGCAACAGCAGATTTAATCCTTTTGAGCTGAAGAAGGTGTACGAATCTTGATGTTACAATGTGCACTTGCGAACCTGAGTCGAGTATGGCACGACAAGGTATTAGACTACCAGCTCTGCTTTTAATAAAAACATTGGCAGTTGCCAAGAGCACAAAGTTGCAAACTTGAGGTCCTTCGAAAGAGGAAGAAGCTGAGTCAGAGGGCAGCGTGCAAGCCAGTGAGTATTGATTTGAAGAACCTTGAGCCATATTGGCTGGGGCCAGCGCAGGCTGAGCTGGCAATGGCATTACAGATGACGTTGGAAATGGTGCGTCTCCCAAATGAAGCAATGTGTGATGCTTGGATCCACATTTCCTGCAGCCGCTAGAATTGCACGAGCGCAATTGGTGCCCGTCTTTAAGGCAATTTATGCACAGGGACATCTTCTTCACTTCCTTCAGCCTTAGTGCTGGGGAAAGATTACCAAATCTCGTGCATGTATATATGGAGTGACCGCTATCGCTACAGAATCGGCATCGTGATGGACTGGCAGCTAGTAGGGCCTTGTTCGAACGATTTTGCCTTCCAGATGAGTGGCTGGATGAGGTGGTAGCCATGGCAAGCTCCACATTTTCTAGCGTCTGGCAACGTCTTTCCAGGAACTTCGAAAACTCCTCCCACGATGGTATTTTATCAACCGAGCACGACTCCTCCCACTTGGCTTGGGTAGGTGGATCCAACTTCTGCACCAAGGCTTGAACAATGAAGCAATTTGCAATTTGCTCTTGATCGCCCAATGCTTGAAGAGCCCGCATGTGACTGATAAGCCTATCAGAAAGTTCTCTTAACTTGCCAACTGACCCAGCTTCGATCGTCTTTAGGCCAAAGATTTGTGCAACATGTGCCTGAAAAACAATGCGTTTATTATTAAATCTGTTATTTAATAATTCAAGAGCAATACGGTAGTTGCTGTCAGAGATTTCCAATGATTTTATGGTGTCGAGGGCCGCATCCTTGAGGCAGGAGCGCAGGTGCTGCAGTTTTTCGATGTTCGAGAGTCCAGGATCCTTGTCGATGATCGTCGAAAACATGGCATGAAAATCGGCCCATTGTGTGTAGCCGCCACTAAAGGTCACAGTCGAATTGCGTTTGCGAATTTCTGCACGGATGCGAACTTTTAGGGTGGCTATAAGCTCTTCGAAATTATCGCGTAATGAGCTACCGATTTCATTATAGTCTTCCTTTTCTAGGTTGTCATGAGCCAGGCAAAAACAATCACTTAGTTTGTTAACAAGGTCTTCTCGCACACTAAGATCATTGTCACACAAGCCTCTAAGCCAGTGTTTCCCAAACTTTTCGGGACCGCGACCCACCTACACAAAAAATTGCAAGATCTATATGACAATTAGTACCCAGCAAAAATCTACCCGCGACCCACCAGTGGGTCGCGACCCACACTTTGGGAAATACTGCTCTAAGCATTTCCACTGTTAATTGCTTATTTATTGTTTTGGCTCGTTGCCAAATTGATTCGGCTTTAAGCTTAAAAAAGGTAGCTTGAGTTTGTGGCGAAAGGATTTTGTCTTCGACCGACATGTTTCACTTAAGGCAAGACACCCTGTATTCAACCAAACGAACGTAGCACAAAAGGAAGAAAAAACATCCGATAATACCGCAAGCGCGACTTGCACAGACGGCAAAATGTCATACGGCCAACGACCTCCGAATTACACCGATATGTAACTTGTATTAATTTATAATTAAGTCACTTCGAATATTTGTGATTATCTCGCCGGGGCCTCCAAAATGTTGAGTTAGCGAGCTTTTTCACTAACTATTTTTGGCAAGATAACACAAAGATTTATTTTAGTTTTATAAGGGTGTATTTAATTAGCTCCAACAGAAATTATAACAAGTTTTGTTTCAATTATTTCACTTATGTTTATTAAGTACAATAGAGTTTATTTAGCGGCACAAGGGCGGCGACAAAATAATACGAAATTATGCGCAGACAAACCCGAATTGGTTTGAGCGTTAAATGCAACGATCTAGCAACGATCTTCATAACGACGACAACTATTAACGACTGTTAGCTAACAACGACTGATGATGACTATTGTTGGCAATGCCGATGCAATGCAGCTGCATGAGATTAACGAAGAAGTAAGAAGTGATAAATGATAAGCGAAGAACAAAGCGATGGTTAAGAGAATTGCCTCGCAGGGCAAGCGAATTTAAGAGAGTTTGCCTCGCAGGGCAGTTACAATAGTTTTTAGTTATGATGTTAGGAAAACAAAAGCGATGTTATTTAAGTTGTTTGGGCTGGACCAAACAATAGCTTTAAAACTGAGAGACTAGTTTACATAGAAACAGATAGACGGACAGACGGACCGACGGACAGACGGACCGAAGGACAGACGTACATACATATTTCGATTCAGATGGTGATGCTGATCAAGAATATATGTATATACTTTATGGGGTCTAAGGTGTCTCCTTCACTGCGTTGCAAACTTCTGACTGAAATTATAATACCCTTTTGCTCTGCTAGGGTATAAAAAGCTTGCAACTCCGAATCACCCCTGGATCAAACAATAAGCTCTTATCGTTCAATATCGTTCTTAGCAAGAAACTGAAATTAGTGCATATTATAATGTGCCTTTGGTTTTTTATAAAAATTAAAAAATTACCTCCTTATATTACTGGAAATGGCTTTTGACTTTATTTGTATTACAATAATTAATGCCTACATATGTTGTTTATGATAAATTTTCCAATTACTAGCTCTTAACTCAAAATTTTACAAATGTGTTTTGAAAATTGTTTAAAAACATGTTTTTTCTTAGTTTTAAGAAAATTTCTTGAACCAATTTTGATTTCTGTTGTTAATTCGCTCAATGTGCAGAGCTTTATATAACCTTCTCTTAGCAATGTAACATTTTTTTAACAAACTGTCACGACTCACTACAAAAACAGTTATGGTATTTTCTATATTGTTTTAAAAATATTGTAGTCATCTTAGAAAAAGTATAGTTAAAAAGTTTGATTAGATTAAAACTAAACATCTTTTTATATTTATAGGTGTTCATAAATGGATATTTTTAATATTTTGGATAGCATTTTGGTTGGCCTTGTACTTAATAAAATAAACTTTTTTACTAATAGTATACTTATCGTTTACACCTGCTAACCTTAATATTTTGTATTTAAACATTTTATAAATTGTTTCGAAAGTTTTATTCAGGTTTCCCGCATAATTTTAAACATTTTTATTATAAAGAAAAAGAAAAAAGAACTATTTCACATTTATAATAGTACTGCCATAGTTGGTACGGGCATATATATTGATTTACTATAAAATGTGCATAATAGGAAATATCTGCGTTTACAATACAACGAAAATTATTATAAAGAGTCTGATTTTGCATTGGTTTATTCGGCATGTTTAATGTAGTGGATTTCCCAAGCCAATGCGACCTTATGTATGTGATAGCCAAATCTAAAAATGATTGACAACCTTACAATGTCAAAAATACGTAAAGAACATGATCTTAAAATAACGTTTTCAATAATGGATCAGGTGTATTGGCTAAACACTTTTAACCTTTATAGATCGTTTTCTGGTTGTTGTTCCTTAAACTTTAAAGTTTCTTCGAAAATCAATGACTTTAAGGCATCTCGAGATATATCATCGTTTTCCATATTGATCCGAAATGGGACTTCAGCGACAGGCTAAACGCGAAATACAATGTTTTTTATTAAGTAATAATTTTATTTAATTATTGTAGTTAAAAATTTCAATATTATAATTGTAATAAGAAAGGAAAGGCTTCGAGCCCAAGCTTACTAAGCAAAAAGCAGAAAAGGTAAACAACATCGAAGCTATGAATATTTTTCTATTCATTTTCTTAGCTTTCACCGATTATTCCTATGACTGGTAAATGAAACAGTCGTCCTATTTTGAAATTAAAATTTAATTTAAAAATTAAGAGTCGTTAGAAAGTTCGATATTCAAAAAATCATGTTATATCGGGTGTTTTTTTTTAGAGGTATAGAACTTTAAGTTGCAATAAAACCACGATGGATTATTCGATTGACATGATTTTTTTTTTATTCGAAAGATAATCTTATGGCAATTCATTTTATGTTAACACTAAGCGAAGATCATGTTATTTTCTGCCTTCGCGTTCGTTTGAAAGCATGACCGCTAACAACTTACTCAACACTGTCTCATTCAAGTGAGCAATATTTACACGCCATACCTAAGACGAACCTAATATTTTGTCCTATTCTAAACGAAAGCTCCCTACTTTTCGATCTTCAACTTGTTACACCACCTTACTCCCCAGGACCGGACACGATTCCCGGGTATGTTTTTAAACACTGCGCTAATGCATTGTGTAAACGCCTTCTCAAGCTGTTTACCTCATCCCTTGTTTGGAAGAAGTCATTTGTTATTCCCCTTCATATGCAAGCAATTATAGAGGTATTTTTAAATTGTCAGCAATTTCAAAGTTTTTTGAACGAGCAATAACTTCTCACTTGCAGGACCTTTGAAGATCAGTCAAATCATTTTCAAACTGATGTCATTTAGACAGATTCTATTGATACGCAAGCTTTTCCTTAAATAGTCTCCTCAGAGTTATCTTTGGTGTACCACAAAGAAGCCACCTCGTACCATTGCTTTTTATAGAATATGTATTTCTCTTGAATATTTAAATTGTCCATAACATATGCACCTTTTGCATTAAAATATCTGGAAATTAATATATATTGGATTGTTCAAAATTTTATGTTTTGATTTTACAGCGGAAAAAAAAGTACAGCTCGTGTCTTCAGATTGAAGATGATAGCTGTCAGTCAATCGAGGAAGAGGAAAAAGCTGTGCAATAACAAGGAGAGTATCGCTTCGTTAATAAAAATAAATTTACCATATAAAATGTGTTAATCACTCCACAATGTTTTCAACCCTTTTTTCTCACTATTTTTCTTTCATAGGAAATGATAAGCGTTTCTTGGAACATTCACTTCTTTCGAGCGTAGAGACTCCAGGCACACAATAATTTTTTTTTGTCAATGCCTATAAGCGTTTCTTCTCGGCGCTATAAGTATATAAGTTGGAACGGGCCGCATCGGCCGGCTATATCGGATAGCTCCCATACAAGAAAGTGAAATACAAAATTCTCACGGCGTTGTTTTTGATCAGATCGACTTGTTTTCTTCCAGATGGCGCTTTCTAACTAATATTGAATTTCGGATTAAATTTGATCAAAATCGGATAACTCTATCATATAGCTGCCATAGGATAGATCAAAATATATATAGTGACATATCCATAGCACCACATAAACTATGTACATGTCTACACACCCATACACTCACACACACACATCTAATACTTGCTAGAACTTACCCTTGACACTTAGATTCAAATATGCAAATGTACCGAATATGATCCTTAACCAAATTAAACCTAAACATAATTGAGGATGGAAAAGTACTTGTAAACCAATCCTCAGACTAAACTTTTTCGATAGAAACGCGCATTCAGCACGTTCCCATAATTCAGATTCCCAAACCAAAGTCGTAAACTCAAATTTCGGGACCAAGGCCATAAACAAATTCAAACCCAAGAATCCAAAGTCCAATCGGGAAAGTTCTTAGCCTAAACAATAAAACACACTCAGTTAGAATAAACACACTCAAGTAAAGCTCGAAAGCTCCACAACCGAGGTATGATCGTAAAGGAAGTCAGAGTTATGAGTTGAGTTCAGTTTGAGACTTGCAAGTGACAGGTCGGTGTTCTTCCACTAAAGAATATTTGTAACCAGTTGAATATAAGAAATAAAGATAATTTTTTTTTTTTATTGAAAACTTATGGTTCAAACATTTAATTATATATATATGTCGAATCAGATGAAACGGGGCCTACTTTTTTCTCTTGGTCAGAACAGGTGAAGCGGGGCCTTCTTTAATGTGAAGCAGGGACAATTAAAAAAGGAAGTTAGAAATTGAGTGAAAGCATGGCAGAGCAGGACAGATTTAGACTGCTGCCAAGTGAGGTCTGTTCGTTAAGCGCTGACATACATGTTAGAAAGAGATGACTAACAATGTAAAAGAATTGAGTAGAAAGTATAAATTTGGAAAGCAGACTCTTGGAAAGTCAGTTCAGTAAGCGCCAAGCAAACGAGCAAAACTTGCTGCTAATAATTCGATTAAAAATGGAAAAGTCTAACGAAACCCCGACGTATAGGTATATAAATAATGGAAAAAAGTATATTGTCTTTGTCTTTTTTAATGACACGAGCATGATTTTTAGTTTTTTAAATACCCTTGAATAGAGAAAAAAATTTGATAAAAATGGAACTACTATATCATATAGCTACCTTAGAAAAGATCGAAAAATCTATATAGAAATAACGGAAATAAAATGATAACATCGTTGTTTTTCATCAGACAATCATGATTTTTGGAATATAGAGTTTTCTATTGATTCTTAAATTTTAAATTAAATTTCATCAAAATCGGATGACTAAAATATGAAAATATGGAAAATTAATACAAAAATCGTCATAGCTTCGATGTTGCTTAGCTTTTATGTATTTAGTTCGACATATTTGATGACTGCAAGGGTATATAAGCTTCGACTTGCCGAAGCTAGCTTCCTTTCTTTCTTTTTGCATTGCATTGGAACCTATTTTAAGCGCTTCTGCTTACATTTGCATGATAAAATCGTAGTGAATCAGCAGAGCCAGTGTTTTGGATTTTAAACCTGCACGTTCTCTTTTAGTTGTGAGTAAATGCTCTGACGTTAGACGGATTTGAGCACCCATGCTGTAAACTATATATTATATAAGATTGTCAAACATGTTCCTGCTTTATAAAATTTACTTCAAATATGCAATGTTGTTCGATAATAGGTTTTTAGTCTGCAACTTCAAAATACCACCTCGTAGAAGCTTCCTCCTTATTTGCGAGGATCTCGAGAGTCACTTTTCACAAGCCTCTTTCGATTTAAACTTTACACCACCAAGGGCGATCGCCATGGACAGAAACAGGTGGTAATCACTTGGCGCTATGTTCGGTCTGTATGGCGCATGCTTGGTCACTGTTTGTGAAGATTCACCGGCCATCGACCACTTATGTTTATGCTTGATATTGCCGTATGTAATGAATTTTTTTTGTCGCCAGTCACTATCCGCTTTAAGAATGAGTTGAGTTCATTCCGTTTCAGCAGCATATCGCAAGCATTGTTTCGTTCCAGAATATTTTTTTGCGTCACATCATGCGCTACCCAAACATCAACCTTATTTTGTATCCAGCCTTCTGCAGATGGTTTAAATTGGTTTGGTGACTAACTCCCATCTCCTGAGCGATATCACGAGATGAGCATGTGGCATGTGTATTCCATGTATTCCATGATTTGCTCAGTATTCTTTTCCCAGGGCTTTTGCCGGCTGGCTTATCCATGGTGTCGGTTTCAACGATTTAGAGCCGGCGAAACCGACACCATGGATAAGCCAGCCGGCAAAAGCCCTGGGAAAAGAATACTGATCAAATCATGGAATACATGGAATACATTCTTCCGTGGTTCGAAGTGATTGAGTACAATCCCCCAAAACACGGGGATCGTTGATCTAGCAGATTAGGCTTCAACGAACAAAAACTTTAAAATGGCGCAAATTTCGGCGTTAGTGAACTCCATGTTTACACGTCTATAAATGTTAAAGGCAAGACCCATTCTAATTATAGCGTAGCGTCGTTTTGTGAACCAAAAGGCGGAAGGAAAATATAATATTTAACAATCTTATATATTCTTGATCAATATTGTTGCTTGTCGTTTCGAAAAGATTTAATGCTAACGCCTTATTGAGAAAATTTGAGTGGATTTCATCAAAGCTATGACGATGTTTTTATCAGCTTTATGATATATAATAGTTGTCCGATTTTAATGAAATTTAATTTATAAGTCGAGAGTCGTTAGAAAACTCTATATTCCAAAAATAATGCCGGACTGATGAAAAACAACGACGTTATAATTTTATTTCCGTTATTTCTATATAAATTTTTCGATCTCTTCTATGGAATCAAGATGATAACGATGTCGGATTATAATGAAGTTTTTTCTCGATTCAAGTGTTTTTAAAGAGCTCTATATTTTTAAAAATTGTGCTAGTGGGATTAAAAACAACGACGTTATAATTTTTTTTCAATATTTATATATTATACTAGAGGTCCTGTGTCCGCTTCGCTGGTCAACACAATTTAACAACATAAAAGTCAATGTTGCAACATTTTTCAAATATATGGAAGTATAGAAAGATGGTGATTTAACACTTTTCCAGTTTGACTTTTCCACTTGCGCAGCACAATCCAGCATTTTCTCTTTTAAACTTTAAAGCACTGCAATATCGGTATATAGTCGCCTTTGGTCCAATATCTAAATTTTCATTATCACTGAAGTTCGCAGTGGGGTCATATTGGAATGCCAAGCGATTGAATGATGCCAATAATCTCCATGTGCTCATTTGTCTTTCTTCGCTTAAGTTTTGTGAATATACTTGTTGCTGGCTTGGATGTCTGCGGCCAATGTTTGCACGTCGTCCTCTAAGCATTTTGGACTATGGACAGAGTGGTGAATTTATCCTCAAATGCACGATCCACCTAATTTTCACAGTTCAACTTAAATTGATTAAAAACTTCTTTTTTTCACAATTTCACAGTGAACACAAAAATTGAGTTAAAATGCTACGGGAGCGTGTTTGTCAGTGTGATGAGGTAGCAACTCACATTATATGCCACAAAATATTGCAATTTTCTACGGATCCCTAATTTTTTTCAAAATAAATTATAGCCTATTTAATTCCACGATAATATAGCTTTCTATCGGTGAAAGAATTTTTTAAATCGGACCAGTAGTTCCGGAGCCTATTCGCTGCAAACAAACTTTGTTTATAAATCTTTATAATCTTTATAATATATGGGTGATTCCATATCAGATTTACAGTCGATATTGGGAAATTCGATGAGATATTTTTTTTCATGCTCTTTATCGAAAATAAATCGACACGTATTTTTTATATGGCTCAGAAAATTTTTTTGACAAAGTTATGATTTTTTGAATTTTTGATGAACTGCCCTTTTTTTGATGACAGTCGCGTTTTCCAGCCCCAATAACTCGAAAACCGTACGTCGCAGAAAAAAAATGAATAGGAAGTAAAAATTTCATCCTTCCTTCTTCTTTGCAAAACTTTCGTGAAAAAATTTTTTAAACAATTTTTCACCACAAAAAGTTCAAATGTTTATAACAAATTAGTTTTTCTCCAACTTGGACATTTTTGATTTTTTTTTTTTTTTTCACAATAAATCCCTCAATTTCTTCTGATGAACATAGTAAAATTTCAGAATGGTATCAAAATTAGTTTTTGAGTTATAGAATTTTAAAGATTATCATGCACGGTCCGCGCGCTCGGTCTCAGGGCGTGCGCCGACCAACGACTCTAACGAGCGTCAATTCGCTTCGCGCGCGCATAGTAAGGGTCAATAAAATGAATTTTTAATGCTATTTAATTCTATAACTCAAAAACTAATTTTGATACCATTCTGAAATTTTAGTATGTTCATCAGAAGAAATTGAGGGATTTATTGTGAAAAAAAAAAAAAATCAAAAATGTCCAAGTTGGAGAAAAACTAATTTGTTATAAACATTTGAACTTTTTGTGGTGAAAAATTGTTTAAAAAATTTTTTCACGAAAGTTTTGCAAAGAAGAAGGAAGGATGAAATTTTTACTTCCTATTCATTTTTTTCTGCGACGTACGGTTTTCGAGTTATTGGGGCTGGAAAACGCGACTGTCATCAAAAAAAGGGCAGTTCATCAAAAATTCAAAAATCATAACTTTGTCAAAAAAATTTTCTGAGCCATATAAAAAAATACGTGTCGATTTATTTTCGATAAAGAGCATGAAAAAAAATATCTCATCGAATTTCCCGATATCGACTGTAAATCTGATATGGAATCACCCATATATAATATTAGTATAGATATATATTTTCCAATCTTTCCTATGGCAGCTATATCGACGCATTACTGCGATTGCAGTATTTCCATGCAAATGTAAAAAAATTTGTATGGACATACGATAATTTCTCGCGGACATTGAAAAGCATTGTAACATACGATAAAATTGAAACTTAATTTTTATTGGAACTATAGGGCTTTCAGTTATAATATTTCACAGGGTAATGAGACATTAGGTGCCTATCAATTTAGCATTAAAATCTCAATTTCGAAAAAAAAGCGACATACGATACTTTCGCGGAAATGCGTCGATATGATAGAGTTATACGATTTTGATAAAATGTAATCCGAAATTCAATTGAAGTTAGAAAACGCCATCGGGAAGAGTCCAGTCGATCTGATCAAAACAACGGTGTGAGAATTTTTTATTTCATTTTCTTGTATGGGAGCTATCCGATATAGCCGGCCGATGCGGCCCGTTCCGACTTATATACTGCGTGCAATAACTACAAAATTTCAGCAAGATAGGTAAGGTAGGAAACTAGTTCGAAGAGAAACGGACAGACAAACAGACGTACAGACGTATTTCGATTCAGATCATGATGCTGATCAAGAATACATATACTTTATGGGGGTGCCTCCTTCACGGCGTTGCAAACTTCTGACTGAAATTATAATACCCTTTGCTCTGCAAGGGTATAAAAACCACCACCAAAATTCCCAAAGACCAAACGAAAAATATTTTTAAGTGCCTTGAGCAGCTACTGTGTAAGGATGCAAACATAGTGCGCGCTGAGACGAAGATTAAGCTGAAGACGAATTGTTTGCGTTGCTAGCAAGCTAATAAGTTGCATAGTGCAAGACGAATTTGTTGCGATTTTGTGATGATTTCTCATCAGATGATGAGCTGCTGTTGGAGGAAAGTTTATTTTTTTAAAATTTAAAATGCAACAAAAAAGTGAATGAAAGAATTCACCCAATTTGGGTAGAAAAGCGTTTGGCGAATTTATTCATTTATTTAATGAGCTGCGTAAAGATGAAAAAAAAATTGTGGAGTACACTAGAATGAAAATCAGCACATTTGTTTACATTCTGTTAAAAATTGAACCGCTAAATTTTAAAAATTGGACAAATTTTAACAAAACCCCAATTATACCTGTGTGAATTGTAAAATGCGCTGCGCCAAAGCATGGGTAAAAAGAGAGAGAAATAATAACAAAGGCAAATTGGCAAGCGATTCGTCTTCAAAAGCAGTACTGCACCGTTTGAAGCTGATTGCTTGCGTATCGTCTTCGTCTCAGCGCGCACTATGTTTGCAGCCTTATCCTGCATGATTTTAGTCATGAGAGTCAGAGCCATTAGTTTTTTCATCATGTTACTATGCAACAAGGAAAAGATTTTCCTTTAAATCCAAATTGAACATTTAGCAAAAGTACAATTCCTTGTGCTTATGAACGGCACGGCGTTTGATAAACAAAAAGTAGTTGACTTCAGCAAGTATTTGTCTTTTATCAACTGTTGTTAATCAAGTTGCAACTGATGCAACTTATGCCTTGTACCTCATCTCCAGGATCATAATACTGCTCCAAATAAGGGTGTGCTAGAGCTTCCTCCACAGGAATCCGTTTGTGCGGGTTGAATGTAAGCATTTTTCCAAGAAGATCTAAAGCTAAGGCATCAGCATTTGGGAAAAGTCTTGACCAGGGAACATTAGGCTTAAACGGCAAGGACTCCAAATAGTTTCGTGCCTGAAAGCCAAAAAATTTAAAAACAATAAAAAAAAGGTTAACTGAATAAAGACTTTTAACTCGCCTTTTCGTTTATAATACACTCCAAGTCTTCCCGAGATGGTGAACCCAATACGCCAAGAATATGATTAAGTTGATCCAAATAGTGTTTTCCAGGGAATATTGGTCGGTTACTTAACATTTCCGCCAAAATGCACCCAACAGACCATATATCAATAGATTTTGTGTATCCCTTTGAATTCAGCATAATTTCGGGCGCCCTATACCAACGAGTAGCAACGTATTCTGTTAGAAATCCAGTATGATCGTGCTCAGGATCTGCAATTCTCGCCAACCCGAAGTCACAAATCTATAAAATAAAGGAGAATGTTGTTAATGTTGTTGTTGTACGCCAATATTGTAATATTGTATATTGTATTTATATAATATTAAGGTCAGATATTGTAACATTATAAAAAAAACTAGTTCGACCCGGCGAACTTTGTTCCGCCTTAATGGCAATAAATAAGGAGAATGTTTTTTTTTTTTTTCATTGAAAAATACAACAAAAACAAGAAAGGAAGCTAGCTTCGGCAAGTCGAAGCTTATATACCCTTGCAGTCATTAAATATGTCGAACAAAATACATAGAGGCTAAACAACATCGAAGCTATGACGATTCTTCTATTCATTTTCCATATTATTCATATGACAGCTATATAATATAGTCGTCCGATTTTGATTAAATTTAATTTGAAACTCAAGACTCATTAGAAAACTCTATATTCCAAAAATCCTGATTGTCTGATGAAAAACAACGATGTTATCATTTTATTTCCGTTATTTCTATAAACAATAGATTTTTCGATCTTTCCTATGGCAGCTAAATCAAGGCTAGTTAAAAAACTCGATCTCTCCTATGACAGCTATATGATGGAGTTATCCGATTTCGTTCAAATTTAATCCGAAATTTAATAACAGTTAGAAAACGCCATCTTGAAGAATTCAAGTCTATCTGATCAAAAACAACGGCGTAAGATTTTTTTATTTTATTCTCTTGTATTGGAGCTATCCGATATAGTCGGCCGATCCGGCCCGATCCGACTTATATACTGCGTGCAATAGCTATACAACTTTTGGGAAAGTTTCAGTTTAAAACTGAGAGACTAGTTTACATAGAAACAGACAGACGGACAGACGGACCGACGGACAGATGTACATACATATTTCGACTCAGATGGTGATGCTGATCAAGAATATATATACTTTATGGGGTCTAAGGTGTCTCCTTCACTGCGTTGCAAACTTCTGCCTAAAATTTAATACCCTTTTGCTCTGCAAGGGTATAAAAACAAATATAGCCCTTTTTTTGGCATTTAAAACCTAAAAAAAGAATATTTAAGTTTGATTAGATCGTCTGAGTAAAAATAACTAAACTTCTCTTATTGAGTTGGTTATAGGAACAAATTTATCTTAAATAATTGATTATAACTAAGATTCGCTTCATCGCTGCCACCGCTTATGCTGCAGTTGCCATTTTTGTTGATATTCTTCGCTGGTCGTCGTTTTTAACATCACTGATGCCTTTATACTGTTGGCCAATAATAATTACAATTGGCTAGTGCACTTTTTAAACCATAATTTTGAATTAGGCATTCCCACGATAGTGGGACGTTCCCCGTTCTTTTTTCGATTCCGACTAATATACTGCGTTTTGATAAAGTTTTAGCGAGAAATCTTTATAACTGAGAGACTAGTTTACATAAAAACAAGTAGGCGAATAGACGTACAAGATTTAATCGACTCAGATGGAAATGCATATGAAGAATTTAAACAAAATTTTTTCTAATACTATGGAATAATTATACCTATATAAATTTTTGTGGGGTGTGTCTGCTCTGAGCTGCAAGCACCCCATACATTTTCCCCTAGACAAAAACAGAACACAACATCGTAAAGACGAAAAAAGAAAAAACGTAAAAGACAAAAAGAAGCTGAAAACAATAAAACGAAGGACGAAATTCAGCGGGAAGAGTTGATTTTGAGCCTTTGAATAACACAGTCCTATGACGTTGGTCAGAAGACGCGAGACATTTAATTCGCTTAATGAAATTCTATACCGCGTATTTGACCCAATACAATCAATAAATAAAACTTAAACATTTAAAATAACTTAATAAACGTCAATTAAAATTACAAAACTGTAAGATTTGGGTTTAACCAACACATAAACTTTCAGTTTGGCTGGAATTTTTAAAAATAAACATGATATTTACATACTTTTAAATCGCATGTTTTATTCAACAGAAGATTGCTTGGCTTTAAGTCCCGATGTAAGACGTTTGCTGAGTGTATATATTTTAATCCGCGCAATATTTGGTATAAAAAGTAACAGATGTGATCATTACTCAGCCTCTGAAATGTAAAGAAACACTTTTTATTAGAAAATTGCGTTTATGGTTTATCTATAAAAAGTCTTTAAGCTTTGTAGTGTTTGCAAAACAGTGGTTAAAGATCCTTTTACCCAAAAAAGTTAATATATATAATATACATTTATGATTAGCATCACTATCTGAATCGATCTTGACGTCTATGTTTTCATGTTAGTTTTAAAGCCATCTCGCTGAAACTTGGTTAAAACGCAATATAAACGTAGGAATAAGCCATATATGCGACTACATTGTGTAACTTTCATAGGAGAGATCGAAAAACATCGAAGCTATGACGATTTTTCTGTTCATTATACCTTTGCAAGGGTTTATAATTTCAGTCAGAAATTCGCACCGCATTAAAGGAGACAACTCAGACCCCATAAAGGATATATATTCTTGATCAGCATCACGATCTCAATCGAAATACGTATGTACGTCTGCCCGTTTGTCTGTTTGTATGTAAGCTAGTCTCTTGGTTTGAAAGCTATCTTGCTAAATCTTTACCAAGAGTTGTGTAGTTATTGCACGCAGTATATAAGTCGGAACGGGAAAAATTTTAATAAGTAGATTTTCACAAAAATTCGCACTTTTCAATATTTATCGAATGAGTTAAGAAAAGTAGTGCATCATTCAAACGGTATTTAAATTACCTTTCCATTGATGCCAAAAGTTAAGCGGGGCAAGATCAAGTTACGAGTATATTTCACTTTTATTTTGTGAAAATACTTTTAACCACCCCTGCACACTGGTCCCAATGCCCAATATTTTTGCAAAAACCCACTTTTTTTTTAAGTTACGAAAAAAAACTTTTTTATTTCCGTAGAATAATATACGTTGCATTTAAAATTCGCAATTTCGTTACTGAAATTGCAGCCCTGCTAAATTCGGATAATAACACATTTTAAAGTAATATTGCAAAAGTTCAACTTAACATTTTAAAACAGGGCCCTGTACGAGTATTAGGTCGGCTGAAAAGTCCCGGGACTGATGTATAGGGGGCGCCACTAAAATTGTTTCAATATTTTTCCTGTTGGGTACAAGCTTTTAAACGAAACATACAAAAATTAAAAAAAAAAAAATTGGACAATCCGTTTGCAAATTATATCCGCGTGAGTGAAGCTACTTTTGCAACTCCGAGAAAAATGGAAAAGAAAACGAATTTCGGGTATTGATCAAACAAATTTTTTTTGATGGGTAAAAATACCGTCGAAACAAAAATTTGATTTGACGAATATTATCCAGACTCTGCTCCATCGAAAACAGCAATCTGCCGATAGTTTGCTGATTTCAAGCGTGGGCGTGTGAGCACAAATGATGCTGAACGGAGTGGACGCCCAAAAGAGGTGGTTACCCCCGAAAATGTCAAAAAGTCCACAAAATTATTTTAAGTGACCGTAAAGTAAAGTTGGCAGAGATAGCTGATACTCTAAAGATATCGAAGGAGCGTGTTTGGCATATCGTACATGAACATTTGGACATGCGCGAGCTCTGTGCAAAGTGGGTGCCGCGCCAGCTCACAATTGACCAAAAACAGCAACGAGTTGACGCTTCCGAGCAGTGTTTGGCACTGATCAAGCGAAATAATAGTGGCTCCACCACTATACCCCAGAGTCGAATCGGCAATCATCGGAGTGGACTGAGCGAGATGAACCGACTCCAAAGCGTGGAAAAACGCAACAGTCAGCTGGCAAAGTTATGGCGTCCGTATTTTGGGATGCACATGGAATCATTTTTGTGGAATACCTTGAGAAGGGCCAAACCATCAACAGCGACTATTATATTGGGTTTTTGGAGCGTTTGAAGGAAGAAATCGCAGAAAAACGGCATCATTTGCGGAAGAAAAAAGTCCTGTTTCACCAAGACAACGCACCGTGTCACAAATCGGCGAAAATGATGGCAAAATTGCATGAATTGAGCTTTGAATTGCTTCAGCACCCTCCATATTCCCCAGATCTAGCCCCCACTCACTATTTCTTGTTTTCAGATCTAAAAGGAATGCTCACTGGGAAGAAATTCAAGACCAATGAGGAAGTTATTTTATCGTTATAGTCGGTGTATCGCCCTCGAAGGGAACTACCTTGAATAATAAAAAAGAATTTTCAAAAAAAATGCGTTCTTCTTACTTAGGATTTCTTCTTACTGGGACTTATCAGCCGAACTGTTATATGCATGCTCCATACCTTTTCTACGGTTTTATGGCAATGATTTAAGGGCCAAAAAAGGCTATCAGGCCGGCTCCGGTTTTCACTTTTTTTTTTTCGTTTTCGTTTTTGGGCGAAAACGAACGTTTTCGTTTTAGGTGCTCCGGTTTTCACAAATTTTTTGTCATCGTCGTTATCGGAATGGTTGACAAACCCTGAGGCAATATCTGGCTTGTCTTTCATAAAACCCAGCATGATTTCATCCTGGAGCGTTGACTTATTCTTCCCCTTGAAAACAATAGCTTTGCATTTAGGGTCCACCAAGTGAACTGTCAATGACAACAGACGTGTTTTTATATCGCTCCGCCGAGTAACTAAAAATACATCGAAAATATCCGATTTCTATTTCGCGAAATTCGCTCAGGGTACGCGTGGGTACTCCTGCTCATGTTGCATATATCAAATTACTAATATAAGTGATATAATACAGTTTTTCACAAATTTTGCCACGCGCGATAAGCTCAAATAAATGAGCGGCGAGCAAAATAATGAGCGTAGAAGCTCCGTAAGCCAAAGAAACGCTTGTTATGCTTATTTCTCAACCCGCGATACCGAAGCAGAGAAAACAAAGAACAACCCGGCCCTACTGGCCGTCGAAAGCACGAGAGCCCGCTCTCTATCACCAGCCCTACTCATCCCAACTCCTACATCTTGGAGTTATCAATGCCAGACCCCACCACCACCGGCTTCTATGGGAGACGCACCAATAACAAGCAGTGCTTCAATTTCTACTACCTCAGCAAAAGTAACGGCAACAACTAAAGCAACGACCAATATTGCGAAAACGGTGTCAACGGCTCCATCGCAAACTGCAAAAGCAACAAAAACCGTAAGCTTTGATAAGCAACAAGCGGTTCCGGCCATACAGACCGGTATGGATCGCTACATCCAGATAAAGCGTAAGCTTAGTCCGCAAAACACGGTTGGTAACAAACCAAAGATCAACCGTTCAATCCAAGCCAAAGAAAAAACCAGGATTTCAAACAACAGCAACCGATTTTCCCTCTTAGCAGATGGTGAGAACCAAGCTGAGCCGGAGCAAGTGACCCTAAAGAAATCAAAGCCCCTACCTATTTATATTAGGGAAAAAAGCTCAAATGCCCTGGTCAACAAAATTGTTGCGCTGGTCGGGGACGAAAATTTTCATGTTGTTCCGCTTATTAAAGGGAACATCCACGAAATTAAAGTTCAGACGAAATATGAAGAACACTTCCGATCTGTTTCCAAATACCTGGAGGAAACGAAAAAGAATTTTTACACCTACCAACTAAAAAGCAGCAAAAGGCTATAGGTAGTACTAAAAGGAATCGAACCCGACGTCGCCCCCTCTGAGATACTAGAAGCCCTTAAAGACAAGGGATTCTCTGCTAAGAATGTTAGCATTATTATCAACAAAAATAAAAAGCCGCAACCACTCTTTAAGGTCGAGCTAGAGCCAGATAGCAAAACCCTAAAGAAAAATGAAGTGCACCCGATCTACAAGCTGTAGTTCTTACTGCACCGGAGGATCACAGTGGAAGAACACCACAAACGGAACGGACCAGTGCAACGTACAAATTGTCAGGAGTTTGAGCACACCAGGACATACTGCACACTTCGGTCAGTTTGTGTAGTCTGCGGAGACTTCCACAGTTCCGGCATCTTAATTAGAGAACGCATCAAACACCATTTTCACCAAAGGTTTGCAACAAATTACCTGCAAGCCACGTCTATAAAAGTGCAGTCAGGAAATGACAACCTTTGCAACGCCGCTGTCTACTGCCCACCCCGCTTTACAATGTCTGAAGGTCAATTCATGGACTTCTACAACTCACTAGGGGATCGCTTCATAGCTGCTGGAGATTACAACGCAAAGCATACGCACTGGGGATCACGCCTCGTTACTCCCAAGGGAAGGCAACTTTATAATGCACTTATAAATGTGAGAAATAAGTTGGACTACGTTTCTCCTGGTAGCCCCACATATTGGCCAGCAGATCCTAGAAAGATCCCAGATCTAATTGATTTTGCGGTTACAAAAAACATCCCACGGAACCTAATAAGCGCCACGGCCCTACCCGATCTCTCATCAGACCACTCTCCATTGTTGATAACCCTTCTTCAAAACCCAGAAATTACGGACTACACCTACAGGATGACGTCGCACAGAACTGACTGGATGAAATATAGGAAGTACGTCAGTTCAGAACTTAACACCCAGCTCAATATCGAAGAGGACATCGACTGCTCTACCGCCGCCCTGGAAGAGGTACTCGTCACAGCAGCCAGGATCTCAACACCACAACGACATGATGTGCAAATAAAGAAGTTCAAAACCAACCTGCAAATTGAACAGCTCGTTCTGGAAAAGAGGCGTCTGCGACGGGCGTGGCAAATCAGCAGATCGCTATGCTCAAAGCAACGACTAAAGGAAGCCACCCGCAAACTAAACCGGGTTCTGAAGCAAGATGCCAAAAACGCACAACTGAGATATATCGAGAAACTCTCTCCAACAAGTGCAAAGCATTCTTTGTGGAGGGCTCACCCAAATCTAAGCTCTCCGGCTGAAACCGTCTCCCCGATAAGAAATTCTTCAGGTGGCTGGGCGCGCAGCGACACAGACAGAGCCGGAACATTTAACCGAATCCCGCCGCAAGTCCTTTTGCTCTACCGGAAATCCAAACTGAAAGCGAATCTACAATACCATCGTTTCGACCGAACGAGATCACCAAAGTCATCCGGAGGCTAAAACCGAAAAAGGCTGCCGGCGGTGACGAAATAACTCCAAAAATGATAATTGAAC